TTTTCTTACTATTTTTTATTAACAAAAAGGACAGTTATTTTAATACTTATACGAAGAAATGTAATTTGAAAGAAGATAGAATAAAATACATCTGATTTTCGTATTTTAAGAAAAAATATCGAAGTGAAAGGAAGAATAATTTTTTTTTTCAAAAGAAGAAAAGAGGAAGAGATTTCTTAAGAATCATTTTTGGTATACAAAGTAAAATTTATTTTACATTTCATTTCAAATATACACACATACACGCACACACACACACACACACACATGCGCGCGCGCGTACCGTAATTACCGTATTCTTTCTTTATTCGGTGATCGATCAGTCGGTAATTTACAAGACAAGTTCAGACAGCTGTGTTTATCGACGTGAACATCGAGCAATAGATGTTGAACAGAGGGCGCCTATAACAAAGCCTCTTATTCTTCTTTCTTTGTAATAAATTTGCTGTTTTATCATATTTAAAAGACACGTATTTATAATTTAATAATTTTATAACATTTAAATTCATTTTACTACATTTACTCGATAAATGTTTTCAAATATATTTAAAAAATAGTTATATAATTATTTTCTGATAATTTTTTATTCTAATAATCTAAAAATTTTTAGATAAAATTATTATTGATTATATAATAAATAGCTTATGATAATATTTTTTATAATAATACTAAATAAATATAATAAATTTGAGCTATTGTATATCATATACTTTTAATAGCGAATTTAAGTGGACACATCAATGTGCATCATGGTATGCATATTAAAATCATTATATTGTATAATGTAATTTTATCTAAATATAAAAATAAAAAATGAACATTTCGAATTATAAAATATTTTACCTAACAACGCAATAAAACATATTGAAGATTTCGCAGTTTATTCGTTTCTATATTTATATTAATTAAATCACATCTTTACGTCAATATTTATGTACGATGACTTCAATGTGCATCAGTGCATCCAATTGAATTTACAAGGCACTTTATTGTATCATATTTTTATATACGTATTTTTTTTTAATAAACGCAACTGTTAAATAAAGATAACGAAGCGATTGAAAATAATCTTATTGCAACAAATATTGAACGTATTTTTTTAAATATATGCAGAATCAATCATATCAATAAAATATAAAATTCAGATTTCCCGGCTTCACTAAAACAAATATTGGAAATATCACTTTTACACATTTACACATATAAAAATCGTTATAGTTTTCAATTAAATATAAATTTAAAAAGTATCGGGAATTGATTTCATTTTATTTAATTTCGGAAAAAATGTTATCTTGTCCTCTTATTTTATTTTATTGACTTACTGCGCACATTAACTGATTTAAATGAGTTAATTCAGAAAAACTCTATATATTTAAACACTTTTCTCATTACGGCGTGTGAATTATTAATAATTACGAAGAATTACATATCAGTATCATAATCATTATTACCGTCGTCTGCAAGTCTTCGATCATCGTGTTTCTATCGCGATATGTACTTGTACAGATCACGATCGTATCGTGCGAGTAATAATTCTTACGTCAAGCATTCCACTGTGTGTAAATAATGTCGCTTCTGTATAATTATAATTATAAGCGTGCGTGAATCATTATACGAGATGCGCTGAAATTACGGCGAATCAGGTAATGAGAAGCCAAACTAATTGGATCTCCGTGGAAGATAAATGAAACATGCAACCAACTGTTTTTGTTTACAGTATATATCATCTTTTCCGAGATAATATCTTTTCACATTTTCCGATTTCATTTTAATCTTATTATTTAATTTGAGAAACTGACCTGTTTAATGAAACACGATTAAATTATTTATTAATTTAACATAATATTCTCTAAAATTTAATACCCTCTAAAATATGAAAGATCGTTTTATATTACTTCAGTTTTTGTTAAATCTCTTTTAATACTTCTTGAATTCTCTTCAATCATATAATTTCAGTCTTCCTGTAATATAGTAATAATTTATCAGAACCGTTTAAAGTTTAATTTATTCGTAGACAGGTATGAAAAATGCGTCATCAAATCGAATGTTGTTACGCGATGATGTCCGTCTTGAACGCAAATGAGAATGTTAAATCTCCGACATAAAACAAGTCACTCTAATAGTATATCTAATTAAAAAAAAGTAGAATCATTATCTTATTGATACTTTCAATAATATCTTTTAATATCTTTTAATGAACTCAATTTTCTCTTAAATATTTTTATAACGAATAACATTTTTTTATTAAATCGTGATACTACAATTTTCAACATGTGACATGAATTAAAATTTTTCTATCATTTTTATTCATTAAATTAAAATTTAGTAAATAAAACATGTGATTACATCAAAGTCATCATCTATTATTATGCGTCCAAAATTTAATTATTATATTTAACTAAATTTCATAAAATAAAAAAAAGTTAAATATCGTAAATTGTTATAGAAAAAGAAATGCAACATATTTGATTTCTTTTAATATGAAATTTTTTTTAATGTATTCGTCTCATTTCACAATATGATGCAATAAGCAGAATATTAATAAAAATTCAAAAGAAAAATCGAGTAAAAAATTGATGCCATATCAATAGTACCAGCTAAAAAACTAATTTCTGACGCATGTATAGAAATTCAATTAGTTATTATGAATCATATTCCATCAGAGTTTTCATTTCTGTATAAAATAAAAAAGATGGGATGTCAGAAAAATTTGTCCTAAATTGCTTCAATAGGCGAACACATATCATAAAATTATTTTTAGTCAAATGTAATGCATGTGTCACTGTGTGTAGGAACCTTTATCGCAAACAAGCGTCAACAAGAAGCGTCGCGTTGAAATCTCCATGTTGTCCTACATACGTTCAAGGCAAAAAAACCACAAGCTCTGGCTTAGGTCGTTTAAAATGTTTAATCTTTGCACTCTACTCGCACGTAGATACAATAAAACTTATATGCTAGGAAATTTATAAACGAATCCACGATTTCAAGTGGAAGTCTTGTCCGACAACAATTTTTGTTGTTCGTGGAACACAAACAGGCAAAAAATCTCTCACGCAAAGTGTGTCGACGCTCAAAGATGAGCGGGTCAACATTGAAGTTTTTTGTGTGTCTCTCTTTCTCTCTCTTTCTCTTTTAATTTCTACCTTTAGTGTTCTTGAAAATACCACTATTTATCACATCTTAATATAATAAAATAACACAAACATGCACGTAATTGCGACCGATGGACGAATATTACCATTAAAATAGTAGCTTGAAAAAAGCTGACAGTTCTCTCTCATATCTGTGATACTTGTGGTCGTCGCAATCTGCGTGCAGTGACCATTTATTGCTAGTCGCGTTAAGACCATATTGCAAACGCGGTTTTCTTACGGTTCAAGATGACGCAATTGGTTGACAGCGAAAGTATTATACAAACACATACACATTTAGAACGCAAGAGTAATTCGCGTCAAATTATAGAAAGAAGATAAATTACATACTAGGCAGTACCAGAATCCTCGACCTTAATTCCAATGACGAATGAAATTGATTGAATTTTTCTTAAGTCATTGCAAAGAGTTATTACTTGTTATTTTTTTTTTTGTATAAATTGATTATATATCAATTGATTATATATCAATAAAAATTCAAAATCAAGTAATGCCATATCAATATCAAGTAATATTAAGTTAAAAAAAATTCTGTCGAAACTAAAGTCGAGAGTTCTAGCACACGCTATAACAGCTAACGAAGATTCGTATGTGATGCCAAATCACGTACTTTCCTAATGTAGCCTCTTCTCCCTTAATTGACGTGTAGGGAATAACAATGACGCATATATCACTCGTAAAGTGCCTGTTCCGTCGAATGGATAAACGTTCGCTGAAAATGTCGCGACAGGTTTGCGTCACGATAAGTTGCAACTTCATCGGTCATTTATGTAGACAGGCAACGGAAACCGCTTAATCCACTGTTAACAGTTAGATTACATGCTGCACCTTTTTTCCCAAGGCCGTCACGATCGACGAACCGAATTCTCGAATGCGACTATGGAAACGGAATAAAAGTCGATCCGCTTTGAGCAACGGCGAATATACCTATAGAATATAGTACAATTATTTTTTACAACTAAAATGATTTATAAAGTAATATAACGGTGGTTCTCAAATGTGTATTTGTGAAAGGAAATTCGAGCTATTTTCTTGATATATGAAAATAAAACTCGAAAGAGAGACTGAATATTAATAAGTTCTTTTTATCTCGAATTATAAAATTTATATTTCAACTTTTAAGGAAAAAAAATATATAGAAGCGATAGCTATTTTTAAAAAAGAATAATTCAATTAACATTTTCAAAAATGAAATACTTTCTATTTTTTCTTCTACTAATAAAGAAAAACTTCAGGTCAAAACACATTACATATCTATTATATTATATACATTATGGGTGCTACGAAATTGAGCTGGATTTTTATTTGTTCGCGTTCACACCTCAAAATTAGAATTCAATCATTTCTCAGCTAAACACTTTTTCGATTGGTCTATTATTTCTTTATACTTAGTTTTTAGCATCTATTTAGGTATCCTACATATAAAACTATTTTATTAAAAATCTCTTTCATGAGACTGAGTATAAGATCATTGCATTAATCATTCCCAAGCAACTTGTATATAGAATTACGCGGGATATGGATATACATGCAATATAAAAAAAAACGGTAAAAATGAAATATACATATATGTCTACAATTGAACGCTTGGGAAAGACTAATTATTTACACTACGATTCAGAATATTCTTCTAACTTTTAAATAAATAAGTGATTAAAGCAAACGCATAACAAAGCAAAGTAACATAATGACGCATGTCGTTGTTATTTTGTTTCGTTATGTGTTTTGCTTCAACTACTTCTTTGTTTAAAAGTTAATGATGATCCTGAATGATCAGAATGTCTACAAAAACAATTTAAATCCAATTTAAATCTCAACTGCTTGCGCATACCTGATGTTACTAATACATGGATATATGAAAATATAACTATATTATAAATCTTAGTGTAAACATATTTGCAGGAACGCGCCGCGAGATGCGAGTCAGTCCGTGTATCGGTGTATTTGAACTAAATAATTAAATTATCATACAGCGCAAGGTGTGCGTCCAAGATCTCACGCTTATGCGGTCACGGACTTCGAGCTAGTATTACCCATCTTCTTCGTAAATTCCATAAGGAAATCCCTATAGAGGAGCGAGTCCATGTTGGTCGAAAGAATGTAAAGTATCCACCAGTCGCCTAAGTCGACTTTTCTGCTAACGCTCTGACAAGTTTCGATGGGCAATAGTCTCGATGATAGATGTAGTACTCTCGGCCGTATCATTGGAGCGAAAATGATCAGAGCTCGATATATTATCAGAGCAACTAACATGATGCCTAGTATGAAGAACCAGAACCAGATGAAGATGTATGTCTTTTCATTGACGATATTTAATGGCAGAATGCAGAGAGAATCGTGCTGTTGTATTGTACCCGAAGCTCCGTATTTGTGGAATATACACTTGGTAACGCGGGGAAACACATAGACCATGGGGTCAATTCGTTCCTCTTGCGGTGTATCCGAGAACTGTAGTACTCGCAGACCATAGCTGAGGAATTCGCCATCGAAGAATCGGTTCATCAGATAGAGTTGACCGATTATATTGACGAGGCACAGAATTTCGCAGGCGAAGTACCGATACACGTACGTGTTGTGATTCTGAAAGCACAATTCATCGTTGAATTAAAGCAAATTGGACTCAATGAGAATGAATTGATCTTAACGCGGTCATCTCCCTCTCTTGTCACATGTCTTCCCCTCCCTCCTCCTACTTTCTTGGTCATCCACTAACATTTCATCTAAATGACATCAGGATATCTCGTATAATTTAATTAAATGCAACTTAGTTTCATTGTAAGAAATTAAGAATAAACATTGCATTTAAGAAGGATTCATGTTAGAAAATTCACTAGATATTTTACATTGCAAAAAATTATAGTCGCATCTAAGAATTCAAACTAGATTTTATTAGATATTTATTAGATTTTATTAGGAATTTATTAGATATTTTAAATTGCAAAAAATTATGATTGTATTTAAGAAGGATTCAGATTAAAATTTACTGATTATTTTACATTTATATTTATAAAATCTTATGAAAATATTTTGTAAGATTACTATTTATCTTTAAATAACAAATCATTACGAACATTGTTTCTTGTAATCACTTCTAATTCTATGATTATCTATTTTAGATAGATTCAAATTTAATCTCCCAGTGTATTTGGAAAACATTGTAAAGAGGGAATATTATGACTAAACGTTAGCAATAACATGTGCGATGTTATTGAAATCCAAGTAGTTATCAGTGATCACCAAGAGTGACTAATTAGATAATGGATCAATCTACCTAATAATAAATCTGTCTTCTCAATCAATCTTCTTCTGAATCTGCCTTTTCATTATTATTTTTTACATCGGCCAAGTAAAAAAATTAATCAAATTTATGAAGCCAATTTGTTTACTTTCTTACCCTTATGTGCATCATCAAGTAATCCATGAGAATACTTTTCTTCTTTGTTATGTTGTCCTTGGTATCCATACCACAATTCATTCCCATGACCAGTGCTTGCATCAGGCCGCCTTCCCAGAAACCCCACAGCCATTGCGGTACATAACACAGAACCGCCTGTTAACAAAGATAATCAGATAAATAATAGATAAGTATTATACATATAATGTAATGTTAATCATTATAAGTTATAAAAATTAGACGAATTAATTCTGTAAAGAAATTGTATCAAAATTTACTAAAACATGGATTCAAAATATCATCTTTTCAATCACTACTTTTTGGACGGAGTAACTCCGGAATAGAACTTTCTCCGTTGACGCATTCGAAAATGGATTGAAGATTAACACTCAACTTTTTACAATTTATCTGTCTCGCATCTTGTAACTGTACAAATCTTTGTCAGCTATTAAAGCGATCATTTATGATCTCCTACGCACGAGTCAGCACGTGGGCCGCCAGACGTAAAGGACAAGCGCGGATCAGCAAAAAGACAAGTGGACGAGCATAAAGAGGAGACAACAATGAGAAGATCTCTGAGAAGCCCTCCTTGGCGCGCGTTCATCATGTCGCACGTGTGGCAAGATTGCCGATAAAGGGTTATCCTCTGCTTACCTGGAAGAACAGCACGAAGCAGACCCACTGATAGTACGTGTAGTATTTCCTTGCCTCGACATCTCCGAAGTCGTTGGACACTCCTGGATGGGCCACTTCCGAGCCGACCTGTGGAAACACGAGACTTTAGCGACTTAGCGATAACGATGGCACCGCGTTATATGCATCTCAATGCATGATAAAGCTATTTGACTCTCTTTAGATAACAAGAAGTCAACCCTTACCTCTCCCTCTTGGCTTTATATCGTTTTATTAGAAATCAACACTGGCAAGTCTTGACTGTTGATAATATAAATCTTCCTTGCGCAGCTATATATTTTTCTTGATTGGATACGTTTCATGTTTAGTAAACGCAGGGAGACCAAGTGCACGCATCATTACGGCAGGATAATATATATTATCAGGACAATTAATAATATCACAAATGGTATTCACTTTTTGGTGTATTTAATGATTCTTTTTAATTCTTGCACTTTATCTTTTTTTTTCTTTTCTCTAACATGAAGAGAAAAAGAGAAAAGATAAATCGTGTAAGAAGCTCAGATGAAAAGAACATATTTTAAATTTCCTTGATTAGGATGAAAAGATGAAAACAAATTATACTTACTTTTTTTTTTAATTTTTAAATTTTTCCTAAGATATCGTAAACTCGAGCGATACTCGAACGGTCGTTAAAAATAATCAATGCGCCACGATATTATCAACTCCTCGTATTGATACATTCATAAGCAATCTCTTATCTGAGGAGTAATTGACGGTTCAGGATTAAAAACAATGATGAATGCACTTGTTGAATATTACATTTATACAGCAGCACAGTAGACAATGCAATATAAAAAATTTTAGCTTCTCGGAGATGATTAAAAAGAAATCTGTACAGTCATCATTTTCATCATTTTCTCTGCATTCGTAAAGACGACTTACCAATTCATCTATAAATACATCTATAAATACATTGATGGTCAAATTTCAAAGTACAACTCGCAAAAAAATCGTATAAATTACAGCCATATTACTGCACGTTTATATAAATGCTTTTGATATTTTATATGATTCTCTAATATTTGAGTATATAAATTTTAGTAATAATGTAATATACGAAGCTATTTTCATCGGCTCTACATCGATGTTCCTGTATGTACTATTATTATTACATCAGAGCACGTATGTACATCATGCAAAACTCAATTGTCCCACATATTTCAATTAAAACCGCAATTGATTATCTACAATTTCCAACATCTCGTTCGATGTTGAATCAATTATCTCCGCCTCATTAGCCATATAGATACGTAGCATTCCTTTTGTTTATCCTCGCACATCTGATGGTATTCAAATATTTCGAACAAAAATGTCTCGTTAACTTTATTTTTGCCGACAGTGCACGTCAAATTTTTATAATATAATATCCATAATTATGAGCTTAATCAAGAGGGGCAGGAGGACTACGCCTCCCTAAATTTTAAAGAACAAAAATAATTAAAGCTTAAACATGCTTAATGAGTATTTACAAGAAATTAATTTTGAAAAAAAAAATTGAAATGTTATAGAAAAATTTTCTAAGAATCCAAGACGGTTAGTATTATAAGTTTCTTTAGTTTGAAGAATCAATTTACAATTTTAACAGAAAAATTAATTAGTAAATTAAATATGTAATTTTGTGATTTATTTGCTAATTATTAATTAAAAATAATATAAAACAATATAAATACTATTCGAAGATCCTTCTCAAAAGTCACGACTCTAATTTGTTCCCCCCCCCCCCCCAACAAATTCATTGCTATGCCTATATTCGCAAGAATTTTGTATTTTAATTTCGCGTAGAATTCAAATAATTAATACTTAATTCTAATTGATTATACAATAAATAGTCTCGAATTGATTAAAAATAATAAATTCGAGACTATTTATTGTATATATATATATATATATAAGTGTCACTCTTAAAATTTGCACGTGAAAAATATGCGAAACCATATCGGGTTTATCCATATGGAAATCAAATGCTGATTATGTTACCTGCTACTGGCTTATTAGATCAAAACTGTAAACGTAACAAATTTCTTAATCATGAAGCAGTATCGCGTGTCGAAAGTGATATTATTTACAAAATGATGCAACAAAATAAGGAAACTATGTGATCAGAACATTCATTGAAACCTTGGAAAAAGTCCTTGAGAATTCCCTTGATGATTTTATAGATATTTTTATTCAAAATTTCCAATAAAAGATTAGATCATTTTTTAATTTTGAAATAATTTTTGAAGTGCAAGTAATGCAAACAAACTATAAAATATATTATAAATTAGTAAAAAAAATAAGGATTCCACGAGATTATATCTAGCATGTCCTATAACTGGAATCAAGAAATCTATAGAATAATCTGAAAAAAACCCAAACATTACAATATCAATGAATTATTTTCTTCTGCTGGATATTACCTTCTATCAGCTTGATTTTTGTAAAAACCTAAGAGACACGCAAAAATGCACATGCATGTACACAAATATGCCATATTTATTGCTAACCAATATCAAGAAAAAATGATCAAAGAGACAATGTTTTCAGAAAGAAATAGAATAAGTAAAATTTTCTTGAATACGGATAGAGTTCCATGAAAATTCTTGATTTTTAAGGGTAAAAAAGAAATATTCCGCAAATGTCACGTTTTCTGGATAGTAAATACTTCGTGTGACACTCGAAATATTTACCTTCTGGAGCATAATCTAATCACATAATTAATTAATGAACGAGTATAAGATGATTTCAAATGTACAGCTTTTTAAAAATGAAAAAAAAAACTAAAGATTACTACGCTTGTGTCTAAAGCTTTGGCCCGATAAGTCGCGTCAGCCAGTAATACAATCAGTATTTGATTTCCATATATGATAACGTCGCAATCTATAGTTTCGCATATATAGCTTTTATTCAATGCGCATATGGATTATCAATAAAGACAATATTGTAGAGCCTTCCTATTGAATAACGAACAAGTTCCACGTATTTTGAAGTATAAAAAAATGTTTATAAAATAAGTCGTTTCTAAGAAATGACGTACTTCTTGTAAGAACATAGTGTATGTTAAGAATATATTACTTTCTAAGTAATTTAAAAAATGTAATGTCATCAAACGTGATGATTGTATAACCATTAGTTGACTCATTAATCATTCTTTTTGCCATGAAATACCTTCCAGATATTCGCAGAGTAATCAAGTGTACTTTCTTGAACATTATACGATTCACAAAGAAATAGCAGATATAAAATCTTTTTCGTAATTTTAAAGACAATTTCTTCATGAATAATAAAAATAATGTGCATTGTGTGGGAGCAATAATTCACACAATGATTCCATCTCAAGTATGATACATAATGCGATTGTAATACAATAGACAAATTAGTAACTGTCTTTTATTAATAAACTTCATTAATTTATTTTATTAATTTTCTTAATAAAATACCAGAAAAAACTAATTTTATTAATAAAAAAGACTTGTAATATGAAAATTATCAACTCTAATATTTTATAACAAAAAACAGAAGTTACAGTAAATCAAATTCCATTTTTGCCGGATGAAAATATGGTGGTATTCTGGGAAAGTTTCTCAAGTAATATACCTGACACTTGAGACTGTTTCTCCTGATATTTTTCTTATAATATATATTGTTTTTTTATATACATATATATAATCTACAACAATTATACAATTGAAGAGAACTAATGTTCGTTTCTATCACTTTAGTTGAATTTTAATCTTGATTCAACTAATTCTTCATCTTTTTCTAGTTCTAATGATTAGAAAAAGAGTAAGTTATGAAGAGTAAGTTGAACTGAGATTTTAAAATTAATTTACGTTGGTAAAAAACGGACATAAATTAAAATTCAAAATTTTTTGTGATATTTTTATTATCATTTTATATAAATAAATTAATATTATCTTTTACTCACTTTTTGGCTCGGTTTTTTATCTTGGTCGTTTTCTTTAATGTATATTATGTTTTATATTTTATATTGCCGATAAAATCGAAGTGTTTTGGAAAGTTCAAAATTGAACCACATGAGAATCTATGATCGTGTATAAGTCGATCGTTTTCATACAGAGCTATATTGTTTGATTCCGCGGTCAATTTTTATCATTTTTTTTTTACTATCGAAATTCATTCTGCCAACAGCGGCAAGATTTCTGCATAATCCATAACGATTTTCCTGCCGACAAATTTTACAACAAATAGAAATTTATTTTTTCAAAAATTCGTATTTGAATATTTAAAGAATATAAAATCAAAACCAAATCAAAAAAAATTTTTTGTTATAAAATATTAGAGTTGATAATTTTCATATTACAAGTCTTTTTTATTAATAAAATTAGTTTTTTCTGGTATTTTATTAAGAAAATTAATAAAATAAATTAATGAAGTTTATTAATAAAAGACAGTTACTAATTTGTTCTATTGTATTACAATCGCATTATGTATCATACTTGAGATGGAATCACTGTGTGAATTACTGCTCCCACACAATGCACGTTATTTTTCTTATTCATGAAGAAATTGTTTTTAAAATTACGAAAAAGATTTTAAAAATGTGAAAAAATTTATCTTAAGAATATAAATTTCTGAAGACAAGCCGATTTTATAAAAATATAGACTACTTTCGATTTGGTGACACAAATCGACACAAGAGTTCTATCTTTGTCACTAAATGTCAAGAAAAATAAAATAATGATTGTGTCGACTTGTCACTAAATGAAAAATATTTCTAGTCGTTATCTTATACTTCACAACTTTGTTAATATTTTTTTTTACTATTATTCACCTTAACATAAAAAGACTTCTTTCCTAGTAATCAAATATAATTTCAGACATTTCTATTACAGTCAGCGTTATGAAATCTCGATCAATGGCATGCCGATTTGAGGAAGAGACAGGAGTATCGATGGAGAACGATTACGTTCATCGAGGATCAGAATAGGTACGAACGAAAATCACACACCTGTCGATTGAACGCGTCTGGCATGGTGAACGTGGATGTTATCCAGCAGTAAGTATTGATGGGATTAGTAGGCAGACCCTGGACGATGCATGAGATCGGGTTACCGACGTATTGGGTGGCCGTGACGAGCAATGAACACGTGAACAGTAATACCGTGGTGAAGTGGTTATGCAAACGAAAGAGCACAGAGTCCGTGATGATCTCCTGCCGCTTCAGATACTTGCTCAATCCTCCCAGTAGCTTATACATGATTGCGTCGGGATGTTGCTATCGAGCCGACACGAGGACGACGTCCTCCTCGACGAAGAGGCTTCCCAAAGATGAGGATCCTCCTTGACCGCCGTAGTTGCCGCGCGCCGGCACCTCCTCCACCTCCACTGACACTACCAACACCACGTGCGATCCTCAAGAAAACGCCGAGGCTACCTCAGACCTCTTCTCTCGGCGGATTATGAATTTTAACGACGCGGGTAGAGGTTCAGGTCGTTCAGGACCACGAGGACGTACCATCAACCGGCACTAACGAACGTAGCTCATCCACCGCGCTCTCGCGCGAACGAAAGCAGCAAAACGAAACGAGAGAGAGACACGAGCGTACGGTTGTCCACGCGGCGTGCCTCTCTACCTCCCTCCTTTTTTCTCCTCCTTCCGTCTCGCCTTCTCTCCGCTTCTTTCTGCCCTGTCGCTTCGCCTTCCTTTTCTACTGCCCCCCTCCCCTCTCTCGCACTCTTTCTCCCTCTATCTCTCACTCTCTCTCTTTTCCTCCCTCCTTCCGTGCCCTTCTTTTACAGTCTCTCTCTCTCTC